ACATCAGTGCGCACCTTCGACTTCTGCATGTTGGTCTACCCTTGGCGATGTCGTACTCCCATCTTTTGATGAAGGAGAGGACCGCTCCACCATGGGACTATGATCGAATTTGGAATTCCTTTTTGATGGACGACTACTTCTTCCCTTTTGACTGCTGGACTTCTCTGCTCTTTGACTGCACTCTGGGCTTTCCCGGGGAGGGACCACGATGGACTATAATTTCAGCAAACGTCGACTCATTCAACACGAACGTGAACTGCCTTCATTGGGAGGCTGATGCCTTCCTGACGCAAGAAGCTCGCCTTGCAGAGTCCAATATGATTGATGCGCAGCGCAAGGCTGCCCTCAGCAACCTCCATGTCTTCTGCTCACAACCACTGCACAGGATTCGGGCCAGCAATGGCCAGTACCGCATCCTTTCGGGAGGTACTGCCACGTGTGCCAGCCGGGAGGTCACGAAGCTCTTCGATGCCAAAGATGATGTTTCAGGTACTTGGTCCTTACTCTGCAGTACTGCCCGTGCTACGGCTACATGGCATCAAGTGACAGCCAATGTTAAGCTCCTGGCCTTTAACTTCTATGCCATCGCTAACGCGCCCTCGGAACGGACAAAGTTTGAGAGGGACAACGAACTGTTACATCAGCTCTTTACTGTCGCGGCGCAGTTCAGTGATATTCCGATTGCGCTTGCTGGCGACTTCCAAATGGAGCCGGGCGTGTATCCTGCTGTCCAATTAGCCCTTGATCACTGGGGTTGGGCTGACCCACTGCTGCAGACAGATGCACAAGGTATAGTGACGCGGCCTCCCACCTTTTTCCAGCACAATCCTGTTTCGGAAACTGAGGGACAGTCATCAATTGATGGTATCCTCGTGAACCGTACAGCACTTACAGCGTTGATTGGCATGGAGGTCCTCCAGCACCAAGACCGGCAGCATAGGCCAATTCGTGCCACCTTTATTTGGGATCGTGTTCACCAGATTGGCTCTGTTTTACAGAAAGTTGCCAAAATGAACCTTGCTCAAGTTCAGAAGGCTGATCCCGATGACCCTGGCTGCCCTGTTCAACTTTCAGGAGAACAATTGTGGCACACATTTGATCGAGAGTTTGAATCAGCCGTGTCAGCGGATGAGAAATGGCAGGTCTACAACGCTTATGCTGTGCAACTGTTGCAGGACAATGGAGCCCAATGGGAGAAGGGACCCCGTATTCGGGGGAGCACGCCCAAATTCCAAGCAGTACGACAGTGTACTCTTCAGGATGCCAGTGGCAGTTGTGCCTCCCCGTACCTTCTGCTCCTGAGGGCAATTCTTCGATCGTTGAGAGAGCTTGAATTTCGGTTCCATCGTGTTGACAGTGGGCCGGGGGACTCTCGAACCTTCCGTAACACTCAGCACAAGCTTCTGCGCAGACTTAAAGTTGCCCAACTGGTCTCATACCAGGTCAAGCAGATCTTTGTACATGATCTTCCCCACCTGGTTGAGCTTGTTCTCCATGCTGCACAACAGGAGTTGAGACAAATCAAGATCGCAGCCATTCAGAAATGGCGTGAGTCCATGAAAGATGCCACCACCTCCATGACCATTGGGAAGATTGTCTACCAGTTTCTCAAAAGCAAAGGACGGGTGACCCCGCCCAACTTGGTTGAGGATGACACCGGGAATATAATCTATGACCCACAGACAGCCATGGATACGATAGCTGCAAAATGGGACTCGGTCTTCTCTGCAAATGCTGATCACGAACATGAAATGTTAGTCCTCAAGCAGGTGTGGCCCTACATTCACGACAAAGGGCGTGGTATCACACTGCCTCCTATTGACGAACACCAGCTTTGTCATCAAGCAGCCAGGCGACGGCCTGATGCAGCTGCAGGGCTTGATGGATGGCAAACCCACGAGATACAAGCTCTACCACCCTCTGCCTTCCGGCCTGTGGCTAGGCTCTTCAACCAGATTGAGGCAGGGTGCATGGAGTTCCCCACCGTCCTGACACAGGTGAGATCCATAACAAGGATGGCAGTGATGCTCCCCTTTCAAAGAGGCTTATTTCTCTACAGTCCGTGTTCACCCTGCTTTACACTGGCCTTCGCTTTGCTCAGCTCCAACAATGGCAGCAAGAGGTGATGCCATGGCAACTGAAAGGGGGCATAAAGGGGCGACAAATGTCAGAGGTTCACATGACCATACAAATGGAGATAGATGCTGCTCACAGTCTGCAGGGCTCCTTCGCTGGCCTCAAATTGGACAAATCAAAGTGCTTTGACCGCTTGATCCCCAAGCTTTGTGCGACACTCATGTTGGCCTTGGGCCTTCCAAAGGGTCTTGCTTGTGGGTTCCTTGCGCTATACACCAGAATGACTCGCTACTCGTCGTTTAAACAGTGGACGAGATCTCAGCCAATCTCCACAGCAAATGGCGTTGTCCAGGGATGTTCCTTAAGCCTGCTCTGCATAAACCTGCATATGGCCGTGTGGGCCTGGATTGTTGCCCACATTGATGGTGTTGACTTCAGGGCTTTCATTGACGACACCTACCTCTGGACTTGTTGGTCAACACTGGATAACCTGGTTGCTGCAGTTCGGGCAACAGAGTTATGGGACTCACTCAGTGGGCAGTTCCTCAACTCCTCAAAATGTGAGCTTTTTGCAACATCCAGCACTCTGCGGCAGATAGATGCTGCGCTCGGCATTCCCGCAGATGAAGGCTGTGGAGGTAGTGAACATACTTGGAGCTTTGATCCAAACGACGAGGAAGAACGCTGGATGCTTTCCGATCACCAAGCTCCAAGCTGCTTTGAGGGATTGTGAGACCATCCGGTCCCTGCCATGTGACAGCTCCAAGCGAGCCCAAATTTTGGCCACCAAAGTTTTGCCGCAGGTTGCATTTGCTCCGCAATTGAACTTCTTGCCTAAGCGGCTCTTGGCTAGGCTGCAGTGCGCAATAGCCGATGCTTTGTGGCAAAACCGGCCTATGTGGCGATCGAAGCATCTTCTTTTGTGTATCATCCATAAAGCACACAAACTTGATCCTTTCCTGTTTCGTGCGGCTGCGACCATTCTTGAGTCAGTCAGATTCTGCAAGGCTCCCTCCAAGCTAGACAAAGGTGGGAGAGGCTGTATGAGCAGGACCAATTGACAGTGTCAAGGACCTCAAGTGTATCCTTACCAGCCTTGCAGCCAACAAATGTTACCAGACAGGTTGTCAGATGCCTCGCAAAGACATCCAGAAAGCGACTGGCTTCCTTGACCTGGCGTTGACCCTCTCGGCCAAGAAGAAGTTAGGGGCCATATCCAACCCGGGGTTTTCATTCTTGTGCCACTGGGAGAGTGCCCTCACAGGATGCACTCTTACGGCCGACCGTCTTGCTGCTGCAGCCCTCATCGACAGTCCCGCATGCCGGTTCTGCGGGGGAGCAAAAGAATCCCTTGAGCATTTTGTGCATGACTGTACTGGTCTTCCAGTTGACCTAACTTCGGGCCTAACTTTCATATTCTGGGAGTTGCTGAAATATCATTTGGGCTGATCCGGGCCGAATTACAGGTGTCCTGTGTCTCTGATCTCCAAGTCCAGGAGTGGAGTACTACAACCACAGGATCTTGCCATGTGTGGACGGATGGATCCCTTCAGCTGGCACAGTACCCCTGGCTTACCATGGCGGCATTTTCTGTGGTTGCTGAAGATGCCACTGTCCTTCGAGCTACAGCGCCGAGCTTTGGGCCGTGCTAGTAGCCTTTGCCATGGCAGATCGACCCCTGATTGTGCATTCCGACTCTTTGACGATCGTGAACCAGTTTGCCGACCTACAACAGCATGATCGGATTCAACTGGAGTGGACACATGCGCAGTGGTGGGGCTTTCTGTTGACGCTTATACATCGTCGCCGCTACCTCTGTGCCACGCCCCTCCAATTGGCCTGGTGCCCGGCTCACCTTTTGGAACATCTTTCAATTGCTGAGATTACTCCCCAACAGGCCCAGGATGCTGGCTCGACCGTGCAAGATATATGGTTGATCCGCAAAGCAGACCAGGTTGCAAAGAATGTTATTGATCAGGCAGCCAATAAGATCAAGTGTGAGCTGCGCGTCAAGGAAGTGGATGTCTACGCCAGGCAGCTATGGCTTTCCAAGCTGAACAGGGCTTGTAAGAAGCCTGAAGTGACAGCTTCACCTGCCCCTGCGGCCACCACTGCACCCGCAGCGAGACTTACACCTCGTCAGTTGTGCCCTAGATGGGCTTGGGACAATCAACAAGAGGACTATACTTGGCACACTGATCTTGACCTAATGACTAAGGGCCCAGAGAAGCCTCCGTTGTCGAGCACGAACTTTCAGACCTTCCTGCAATTCATGTCCTCCTGTCATTGGAGATTCGGCGATGGCCTAGCGTGCTCAGTCTTTGAACTTGCAGTCGCAGCTTTTGTGCATGGATGCAGATTTGACCTTCCTGCTGGAACACTGTGCACCCCGCATGCTTATGCCACTATCATTCGAGCGGGCATTTCGTTTTGCAAATTGAAGCAAGTTGTTGTGGCGCCCTTGCTTCTCGATAAAGGGAATAAATCAAATGGCAAAACCTTTCCGAAGGGCGCTTTCATTGGCGCTGAAGTCTTATTTAATCCAACGTTGGAAGTACTTTGCAGGGCCTTTGAACGCGGCGCAAAAGCAACACCGCATTCATGGTCCATGTTGTTTGACTCACTTCTGTGAGATGGGCTTCAACACGGAGCTAGACCTTTGCTGCGGAACGCTCATTGGTCGCCTCGACTTCAGTGTTGGCCGGAGAGTAAAAAAAAAAGGAAGCTCCCCCCGCCGCCCTAATTCCTTGAAGAAGCGCTAGCACTAATGATTTGGTTTCTAGATTTTGAAGGAAACTTAACGCAAGAAGCTTAACAAGGAGCTACTTCTGGGTGGAGTAGGTAGAGGGTAGCAGGACAAAGGTGTACAGCACGCTAGTTCAGGGATCAAAGGTTCCGAAAAGAAACAAGATTAAACACCTGGCCTCCACTCGGTTCATCCGCTGAACCCTGTCACGGCGACGTTCCTCAGCCAGCTTTGCCTCACATTGGTTCATGCACTGCTTCAGAAGTTTCAGACTTCTTCGTGCCGCATTGATGCGGGGAAGATTGGAACTTGTTTTGAATGTTCAAACGGTTCTTAAATTGTGACCGCAGCAAGTGAAGTGAGGTAAAAGCTGCGCTGCAAGAAATGCCAAACCAAATTATACTACCATCTCCACTCGCAAGCGGCACCCCCGCAGAGAGAAAGAAGAGTAGGGAGCAACAATGAAGAGCACCACGACAACCCCACCAGAACCAGTGAAAAAGAAATAGAAATCACAACAAACCCCGATCGCCAGTGTCACTATTCATTTGCGCAGCGAAGTAAGTAGAATGCAAAGGGCGCTTGCGAAAACAGGCGATCAAAGAGGACTAAGTCGAAGAGAAATAAACGCACGGGCATCGTACAAGCGGTCCGCTGGTCCCTCCACCCTAGTAGCGATGCCAGGAGCCCCTAGTAGCGTCCTTGCTCCTAGCAGCGATGCCAGGAGCCCCTAGTAGCGTCCTTGCTCCTAGTAGCGAAATCCAATGCTTTCTTGAATTGGTTTGATTGCTCCATAACAACGGGTTGCCCCGCCACGGCGGAGTGACACATGGAACAAGGCGGAGGTCCGACAGATCAAAGAAATCAGGAAGGTGTTTGAAGCAGTTGCGGAAGTAGGTCAAAAAAAGGCCTCCAACAACGATTTGAATCAGAACAATGCGAAATCAGAAACCGGCCATTAGAAAAAAAAACGGTCGGAAAAGGTAACAAACTGCTGGGAATAAATGATGTTTTTGATTTGTCCAAGCGCCTCGGCCGAGGTCATCATACTCCATGTCATCACACTCGGGAGTGAACGCTCTTCAATGCGCAAGAAAAGACCAAAACAACGCGCAATTCCCAAATGGCACCAACGCTGATGACTGCCAAAGCCAACAAAAACTTGCGCCAAATGCCACGTGTAACTCGGTTGGAATACCATTGTTGGGCAACGCCAGTTCACGCCCAGCTAGAGGGTAGAAGCGCTTCAAGCCCCTGCTCTTCAAAGGGATTCCCCTTCCTAGTAGAGCATGTTGGTGGAGTTCAGAAACATCCCCACTTAATTGTTCATTGAGAGGGGAAGGGATTGGTATCTTTGCACAACGAAGGCGCTCGAAAATCAGTGAAACCTCTTTCCTATAGATCCTGATGGTTCTTGACGCAAAGCCTGCAAAACGAAAATGCGATGTTTTGGGTGCCACTCACTTCCATTCAAAGCATCTTCGAAGTTCCATTTGCTCATTGCTGATCGTCCAAAAACGCAGCGGGACGCGTTGTGAAATCAAACGATTCAACGTACGCGACCTGTGAATCAGTCACATTGAAATACCATTCCCAGGTTTGCCAGTTCACGAACTCGCCTGCGAAAGTCCACAAGGAAAGCTGACGAAGCTTTGTGCTCCACTTCCAGCGGTAGGCTGGGCACGCAGCCATCACAGAGAAGCCGAACGTTGGTGCCTCTGACGCAAAGGTTGCGGATCTGGATCAGGAACTTCAAGCGCTCCGTTTGGTGGAACGCTGCAGCGCCGCCATGGCGGCGCTCTCGGCATCCTAGTTGCGTATCCAATGGGGTATACTGACACGTCTGGCTGAGGCCTTCTTGGTATTCAGCCTCAAAGGCTGGATCGAACTTAGGAACACCATCTTCATCATGGACTTCGTAGGGTATCAAGTAAGGACCTAGGATGTCCAAGGCAGTCAGGAGCTCCTCGTGCAACTCAGAAATATTGCGAAGCAAGCTCCATGTCACCCAGCTTCTGCCAGAGCAACAAGCTGAGGAGTATGTGTCCTATACTCTTCACGCTCGCGCACTTCCAGGGCCTCGGGCGTAGACCAGAAATGGGATCCACACGGACGCTTACTTAGGAGACGTTCAGCCTGCACTTCGTCATGGATTTCTTTGCCTCACTTTCATCTGGCTTTGAGGCGCTAGCTTGTCGCCCATGGTTTCTCGTTACTGCGGACAGACCTGACGTCCTGAGTATTGTCCCTTGCCTTTAAAAAAGGTCTTGCATTCCGGGGCCCAATGCGCACATCAGCCTTGCCCTTCAACCAAGAGGTCCAGCGGAATTGGCACACCGGTTCACGCACAACTGAAACGTTAAGATGGGCAATGGAAACATCTCAGGGTGTGTGTGTGTGATGGAACTTTTGAATGAGCAAGCTTCTGCCCCAAACTCAAAAAGGGCGCGTGAACCCGGCGGCCGGCCGTGAGCTAAGGAACTCTTCCGCAGACGGCGCAGCCCCCTGTATTGTCCAAGCGCGCTTGGTGGGGATCAGGTCCAGGCATCTCTGCAACTGACCTTTGATGAAATGGCCGCCCTCACTCGCTTGGCTCAGGTTCACACGCACACGACCTCATCAATCACCTCCACGGAAGGACCGGCGCCTGCTTTGCCTTCTTGATTTGCAAACCCCGAGAACAGACTTTGCGTTAAGGTGGCCATGACCTTTCTTCCCAGTCCAGTGACGTAGATGGAATTCCGACCACAGATTTATATACCTGAACATACGCACGCAACTTCTCAGATCCAACTTCAGGACTCCTTCGTACCATATAGGGACTTTGACCCGCGGGAACGATTGATGAGACCAGTCACGCGCGAAAGGTATCTTGCTCAGGGATCACACTACAGACCCGCAGGTCAAGCGTCATCAAGTCAGCCAGGCATCCCCCCATCTTCACTCAACTCATCAACCATCGACACGGATTCACGGCGTCAGGCACCAGCGGGCCACGGAGCTGAAGGGGCAGAGTTCGGCAGGACCTCGTACAAGTCCAGGCCACCACTTTTGACCCTCGTCACATACCTCCATGGTGGGCTGGACACCAACCACTGTATCTTTTGGTCGCAGACCTGCTCCTTCATTGCCATGCGGGCCTTGTCCTCCTGAACCAGAAAGGCGCTGTGATCGGCCAGGTCAAACTTCAGACTTCGGTCTCTTTCGACATGTGACTTCCGGAGCGCAGCCCGCGCAATAAGCGCTATATAGCGGAGCGCTGTGGGTGTGAACGGTGAGCAATGCGCGCACGTGGCTGTACGCATATTAGGCTCGCACAAGTAATCCGGTGCAAATCAAATTTGTTTGGAATCCCGACATTCCGAAAAATGGCGTTGTCGATCAATCGACAAAACAACAAATCCCTCAAAGCTCACACGTTGAAAACCGCAAAAGATCCCAAATGGGCTGGAGAGGATCCGGGATGTGACTTAATTTTCATTATCGGGGCGGAGCGAATGGAGCGATGGAGTGGATAGAGCGGAAGACGCTGATCCCTCTCGCAATGCAATCAACTTAACATTTGTTGCTACAAGCGCCTGCACCTTTAGGCCTTGGCACGCTGGTTTATGTTCAAGGCCATTTGGGACTCAAGCTGAAAGAGGGTGTCCCGAGGATCAGACTTGGGTCATTCGTGGGTGAGAAAGGGTACGAACAAAGGCCCCCCCCAAGAGCAAACAACTGCTTGGGCAACAACAAGAAGCGATGGACACAAGAAAAAGAGGATGGCTGGGAAATGACACATGGCTGGGATAAATGACACAAAACAATGGGATGGTGAAGATAAATGAGACTGAAAACCGCATTTAAAGGCTTACGCCTGACAGCCGGGCGCCGGCCGGGGAAGGGAGGAGAGCGAAGGAAGGGAAACGACGGGGGTTTCCGTTACGGTGCTGGTTTGTTGTTGTTGTTGTTGTCGTTGTCGTTGTTCTTGTTCTTGTTCTTGTTTTTGTTCTTGTTGTTGTTGCTGTTGTGATGGTAACCTGGTAGCCTCCGTGGGCGGAGACGGCTGCCCTGGCTTCTTTCCGGGAAACCGCAACCCCGAAAGCGCCGTAAAACACATGGTTTTCGTCATAAGAACCGCTGTAGCGGAAAGTGTGCACGCTTGTGAAGTTGTCTTGAGGGTCTGTACATGACCACATACACTTTGAAGCCCTTTTGTTGATCAAAAAGAAAAGGAGTGCGGTTTGAAACCCGTGAGGGTTATGAGTCATGAGCCCAAGCCTTACGCACTAGAGGCTGGCTCTTTTTTCCTAGGTTCGCCATGAGTGAAGAAGCAACCTCAGAGAAGACCCCGGAGTCGGGGGTCCGGGGGTGAGAGCGATCGAAGATGTAAGACCCACTGATGGTGTCATGATGAGGCCATCAGGACCACCTACTGTGCTTGGGCGGTCGAATCCATTTTGGTCGGAGGGCGTGAGAGATGAAGCGATCTTGCGCGCCATTAGGCCTGCCGACTTGCCTCAGATCCAACAGGAGTCGCCCGAGTTGCTTCCAGGTGAGCCGACGGGGGTTAGCCCACCAAGGGAGGGACCTGAAGCCTTCCGCGCCATGATCCAACATCTAGTTTCTGAGAACGCTAGGCTTTGGAGTGAGCGTGAGGCCTTCATGGGCAATCGTATGGAGAGTCGCTGGAGTGGACCTGGGCAGCAGTAGTGGGGGCAGCCACCTCCTTGGGCCATGGGCATGATGGGCTCGATGTTTGAGGCCATGAAAATGGGCATGACGTCTTCTTCACGGCCGGCGGATGGGGGCTTGCTGGGTCCTTTGTGATGGGTGATTGAGGTCGTAGGGGGTACCAACAACATGGTCTTCCAGATCCTCGCAATGATTATGGGGATCAACATCGGCATCCCAGTGGACCGAGGACAAGCTTGATGGAGTTTTTCAACCGGGTGTCTGCTGCAGCAGGGGCAGTTCAATCCTGGTTGCCTGGAATGCTGGGGTCCTCAAAGGCTCTGGTTGGGGGCCACGGCATGCGATCAGTTGAGCCACAGCCTTGGATGGGTTCTGCTGGAAAGGACTTCGAGGTTGGGGGTGTTCAGGGTGGCACTCGCGGTGGTGTTCGACATGTGCCCAGTGAGCAGGGCGGCAATCCGGCGGGAAGTCATTCCGGTGATCCTTGGGCTGGTACACCTCACGACAATGGTCGACCGGGGCAAGGTGGTGGATCGAGCGCTCAAAATCCGGGATCCG